TGTTTAGTTCTATTACTCACCTTTGCATAGTTAACATATTTAAGTGACTAGTTTAGAGCAAAATAAAATTTGACGAGCAACATTAAATTCTGCTTGAAGTTCAATAACTGTATTTATGCAATCCACGTTGGAATTTGCATTATAAATTAGATAAAAATTACAGAAGTAGATTAGATAGAGGTTAATGGAGTGGTATAACAGAAATAATGTGCATATTTAACTGACAATTTAAAAGAAAATAAAACTCAATGACTAATGAATAACACAAAATTTCTCATAAATTTCGATGCCTACGCCACACTTTTTTATTGCTACTTTGTGTTTATGCACTTCCACTTGTGTAAATAAAATATGTTCCATATAAAGAAGATAATAGATAAAAGACTAAGAATCAATTTCAATCATTAAATTGGTTTATCACATTCCAATTCCGAACGAATTTCAAAGAAAGTGTGACAAACATAGCCTACACGATGCGGCTCATGTTAGGAATTAGAATGTTTCCAACTCTACCTTACCATGATCAGAAGTTGATAATTATTTTTCATCTTGGCTTAATTCTTTTTATTATTTAGGCCATTATTTTTGCATCTTCACTTAATCAACATTATAATTTAGTATTAGTTAAATATGCATTTTAATGACTAATGGACCCACCCGTTCTTGGCGAGACAGAACACCACGACAAACTTTGAATAGAAGGAATCATTTTTCCTCAAAACAACAAAATCTACTGATAAACTGGAGAAATAAACTATACTAAGAAACGATAATAAAAGTCAATTATAGTAAGAGACGAAAATAAAAAGAAATTATACTTGAGAAAGAAATTATGTTGTCACGTTTTGTTTAGCTGCACTCATTTTTACAAACAATTACTATTTACTTTAACAAATTCTATGATATAAACTCCATATTGTTTACTTTAAGCAAGATTGGTTAAAGTTATAAACTCCTTAAAATTTAAAATCAGAGTCAAACATTAAGTATTTTGAAATTAATCATGAGTTAGAAATTCAGTATTTGTGGTGCTCCCAGAAGTCATATTTCATTTTATTATTTTCTCTCATTTTAATAAGATTTAATAATTTTATTTTCAGTGGAAGGATGATGCATCAGAAAGGATATGAAATAAGATGGAGGAGAAGATAAATAAAGAGAATAAAATTTTGCATTTTAAGAGTTGTAGTTATTATTTGAATATATTATTTTATGTTAACATGTATTTACAACTTTCTGCTTAATAGTATTGTATATTACAACTTTTGAATTTTGTGTTGCGAAGTTTTATATATGTTATCATATTTTTTAAGTGAACACATATTACAAGGGTGTTTAGTTGATATTAAAATTAGATCTTTTTAGAAGATTATGATAAAAGTTTTTGAAATGTGTGATTGAAAAATTGTGGGACAAAGAAGTTATTAATATTGATTGTTTGAATTCTTCTTAAATTAAAATCAGATTTTAATTTGAACCAAAGAGGCTCTAAATTGAGAGTAAGTTAGCTCCCGTTTGGCACCTATTCTTGTCAAATTTTAATGATTGGAATAATATATTTTTTAAAATGTATGGTTGAAAAAGAATGAATTTTTTTTTATTTGCAGATAATGTTATTTTTATAGAAGATTATGTGGTTGAAAATAGGAGAAAGAAAAAGAATGAGGATGAGAATGGGGCCAAAGGGCTTAATAAATTATTTAGAGTCAATTTCTCGTCTTCCCGCGCCAATTTTAAAATTAGAGATTAGTTTTTACTTCTGAAAGAAAAATGATTCTTAATTTAACTTTAAAGCAAGCATGTTTCGTGGCATTAGGGTCCTTGGGTCTAGAGGTGTCACGGCATAGATTATAATGGGCTGTATATATGTATATTGCTTGAGACTTGACGAGTGGAAATTTGTTTGGCCACTTTGAGTTCACAAGGCATGTTGGCAAGTGTTTGTAAACGGTTTAAATTATAAATTGATTGAAATTACTTGTGAATAAATAAGTAATACTTCTGTTTCATTTAATAGATATTGGATAAAAAAATAATTTTATCAATTATACAATTTATAAAAACTAGCCAAACACAAGCTCTAGGTCTTTAGCCGACACTTCTATATGAAATGTAAACTCTGAAACAAAACATAGTTGAGAAGCTGGCTTCAATGAATAATGATATTAATCATCATTGGTGTTAAACACCAGTTTAGATAATAATTATATGACATTAGATGATAGATTTATTTAAATGCAAAGTACTCACACATCTCATTTAATTAAGTTTATAAAGTGCAACAGTCTAAATTGATGCTCTAACACTAATGGTAATAAATAACATTATTTGGCTTCAATTATTACAAATGTTAAATGTATGGTAGTAACATTTGTGGCAGGTTCTGGGGCACTAGTCATATGGTAGTTTGAGTGGACTGTGAACGATGAATATTAATGTAAGAAAATTTAGGTAGGCCACACTCTGCTTAATCTTAGAATGTGTAATGTAAGACAACCAAGGGGTTTTTTCCAAGTCCCTGTTTGATTTGAGGAATTTTCCACGAAAAATTTTCCACCTTTTTGCTTTTTTGATTGCAAAAAATTTCTTGGCAATTCATTTTCCATCCCCCCCTCCCACATGACCCATTTCCCCTAGTTTAGTGGAATTCAATTCCCATGGGTTTCATGGAAATCAGTTTTCCAACTTTTATTTTTTTTGCAATGGAAACAAATTCTATCCACAATTGTAATCAATTTTACCCCTTTAATTTACAATTTTCGTGAAAAATAAAGCCAACAGAATACCAAAATTTCAACATTTTTCAGGTAGAAAATTGTACTAATCAAACACATTTAATTCACAATTCCCAATAAAACAAGTTTTAGGCAATTCAATTCCCAAAAATTCGTTTTCTTTCTACCCAAATTTCATTGTAATAAAAAAATGTAAGTTTTACCTTTTTCAAGTTTAGGCAATCATGACTTATTTTCTGACAAAGCAAATTTCGTGATATATTGACTATAGAGATATAGTAATGGGGAAATTGCAGTCGAAATACCAAACCTTTCGTTCATCAGCAGACTTTGTCCAAACTTTTAGTTTGTGCCACTGGAGGTATCAAACTTTTCAAAAATCTGCACCCGAGTCCAAATGGATGGAAACTGTCCATTTGACCGTTAGTTGACCAAGAAAAAAAAATTTTGACCTACTTTGACCAAATTGGAATGGGTAAAATGATAACTTGATAATTACAATATTAAATAAATTGAACCAAGAAAAAATCAAAAAATCAAGAAAAAATCAAAAAATTAAGAAAAGAAATTAAAAAAGAGTTGTCTTCTTCAACCTCCCCACCCCACCGAAATTTTTACACTTAGCAGCGATGGCAAATGGAATTGCCAGAAACAAAATCCATAGCTTTGTTCCCAACAAAACTTCTTGCAAATTAACCAAAAAACTTCGTGGGAGTTCCCCGATTTTCCAAGTTGTGGAAGTAGGGAGAGCCTTGGGAATTTTCTAATTTTCGTATGGGTGGTTCATCGGTTAGAAGATTCGCGGTGACCGAAATCAAGGTTGGCTAATTTAGGGCTCTTCTTTGCACTCGATTTTGGGGATGCTGAGAATTTGATAGTTTGCAGAAGCACAGTTGATTACCAAGATTCACTAATCGAGTTGGGAAAAGAAGCAACATCCTTTGCAGGAATATTTAATGTTGGAGATATATTTCCTTCACTGTCATTTCTTGATTCAATTTTTGGATCGAAGCGCAAGTTATTTAAGATCCATAAAATGATTGAAAAGTGTTTCAAATTGAAAACAAAATGAGGTTTCAGAAACACAGGTTTTGGGATGGATGGCGAGTGGGTGTGAGGGGGGTAAGTGGAGAAAAAGATGAACAGTGTTTTTGTTTTGGGTTTTTTTTATTTAATTATTAATTTATTGTAATGATGTTTTTGTTGGAAAATGTAGATTTACCATTTTATCCTTTTAAAATTAGTCAAAATTATGGCCATTGTTAATTTTTTAGTTAACTAATGGTCAAACTAACAGTTTCCATCCATTTGGACTTCAACCGCAAATTTTTGAAAGGTTTGGTATCATGGTTGGCACAAACTAAAAGTTTGGGCAAAGTCTGCTAATAAACAAAATGTTTGGTACCTCGACTGCAATTTTCCCTATAGTAATATGGAGAAGACAAAATTACTTCAATCACCGATGGAATCGAAAGCGCCCCTTATCTCAAAATGGGAAGTTTGATTTCAAAGTTACATCTGAAAAAATGAGGAACTAAGATTGCATTTAATTTGCTATTTTGAGGCAATTTTCAATTTTCTAAAACACTAAAAACGTATTTGATATGTTATTTTTAAAAATGCATTTTCGTAAATAAGAAAAATTTTACAACAAAAAACTAAAAATGACTTTTGACATTTCGAGTATTTTCAAAACATTCAGAAAAGTCAAAACAAAGAAAATGAATTTAAAATTTTCTCAAATTAAAATAATTAATAAAATCATAAAAACCTGCTCAAAAACAAATATCCAGCTTTCAATACCTCTCACTATCTCTCTCGCGCGCGCACTCTTTCCAAGTTCCTCCAAGAACCTTAGTGGAGAATCCAATTTTCTGGCGCTGTTTCTCAATCTTACAATGATTCCTCTATCTTTTTCTTTTGTTTCTTTTTTTTTTTAATATGTACATATATTTTTTGTAAGTAGTTTTTTAGAATAACAAACCAACTCGTTTTATGCAATCTTAAAATTATCCATTAAAACAAAAAACAGAAACGCAAATCAAATGCACCGTAATATTTTTAAGACTGTTTTAAGTATATAAAAATGTATTTTTTTCAAACGTGTATGGATAATTTAGTATTTCCTTTTAAGTAATAAAAATTTATTATTTTAAAAGTAACAATTACCACTCTCAAAATAAGTAATTTACTATTTTTCAACTTTTATTATTAAAAAATAGTTTATTCATAACTTACTTATTTATAAGCAAACTTTTTATGCTTAGCCGAGCATGCTTGCTTGCTTATATATGAGCCCCCAGGTCACAGTAACAAATTAACTAGGAAACCCATCTTTGGTCAAGACAACCATGGAATTCTCGGTCTCACATCTCAATTCTTCCATAGCTGCAATATTTGCGCTACTTTTGATTTTTTACTGGAAATCTAGGTCTAAAGCTACCAAAAACAGTTCACCGCGGGAAGCTGGTGGGGCATGGCCCATTATAGGCCACCTCCACGTCATAGGTGGCAGCTCACGTCTTCCACACATCATCCTGGCAGCAATGGCGGACAAGTATGGACCAATCTTTACAATCCAGCTCGGAGTACACGAAACTCTAGTGGTGAACAACTGGGAATTGGCTAAAGAATTGTTCACCACCTGGGATGTGATTATATCTTCACGTCCAAAATTTCTTGCAGCCAAGCACATAGGCTATGACTTCGCCATGTTTGGATTCTCCCCTTATGGCACCTATTGGCGTGAACTACGAAAACTAATAGCCGTGGAATTATTCTCTCCCCGAAGACTGGAGCTCCTTCAACACATACGTGTTTCCGAAACCGAGGTATTGTCAACCAACTTATTTTAAAGCTTAAGATCATAGAGAATGACCACATGTATTTATTTCAATTGCGTCTCCAACATGCCATTCATCTCGAGACTGGATTATTATCAATGATCAAAGGTATGATATGTGCATAATTTTTATAAATTCGAGGTAGTGAAACTTAAACTATAGTATTTTGTCTACTATTTAACAAAATCATCTAAAAGCAATTAGATAAATGCGAAATTGTATCCGTTTAAATCCTGTCTTTAATAGGTATCCATACAAGAGCTTTACAAGTACTGGAACGAGAAGAAAGATGGGTCGGGTCGGGTTTTGGTGGAAATGAAGCAGTGGTTCGGGGACTTGAATTTGAATGTTATTCTCAGAATGGTTGCAGGGAAGAGATATTTTGGTGCAACTGTTGATGGGGATAAAATAGAGGCAAGGCAGTGCCAGAAAGTGTTGAGGGATTTCTTTCATTTAACTGGAATTTTTATTGTGGCTGATAATATCCCTTACCTTAGATGGTTGGATATAGGTGGATATGAGAAAAAAATGAAAGAAACTGGAAAAGAAATGGATAAAATTGTTGAGAAATGGTTGGAAGAGCACAAGCAAAAGGCAAATTCTGGTAGTAAGCAGGATTTTATGGACGTGATCCTTTCAGCTATTGAGGGCACAAACCTTCAAGATTATGATCCTGGCACAATCATCAAATCTACATGCCTAGTAAGTTTTTTTAATCAATGATCATACCTTTCCCTATTTGATGTGTTTTTATTTCTTGACATTGTATGTCAACTATGTGAAAAATGATCCCAAAATTCTTGATATCAAAAAATTGAAAAGCATGAAGAACTATGCAACACGTTTGGTATTCACTATACTGGATATCATGGCATGGCAGATATTACTTTTTTTTTTTATTCTTTGATCTTTTTATTATTTTCAGATCCAATAAATCAAATATGTCAATAGAACATATATGTGATAAAGTGATTCTGTAAGCATAAAGTGTCTAAACCACGAAGGAAGTGATGTTACACCATTTAACAATTGTAGAAGAAAGAATTATGAGACAAAATATTAAAAATTAGTTAAATATTTACCTGTCTAGCTAAAATTTAGGTAAACGTTACTTTTAAATAACTTTTTTATCTAAACATATTAAACACATTTGATTTTGTTGAAAATTAATTTTTTAATAGATTTTGATAAAAGTTGATGAAGAAGTGATCGCACACCATTTAACAATTATACAAGAAAGAATTAAGAGGCAAAACTCAATCTTACAATGATTCCTCTATCTTTTTCTTTTGTTTCTTTTTTTTTTTAATATGTACATATATTTTTTGTAAGTAGTTTTTTAGAATAACAAACCAACTCGTTTTATGCAATCTTAAAATTATCCATTAAAACAAAAAACAGAAACGCAAATCAAATGCACCGTAATATTTTTAAGACTGTTTTAAGTATATAAAAATGTATTTTTTTCAAACGTGTATGGATAATTTAGTATTTCCTTTTAAGTAATAAAAATTTATTATTTTAAAAGTAACAATTACCACTCTCAAAATAAGTAATTTACTATTTTTCAACTTTTATTATTAAAAAATAGTTTATTCATAACTTACTTATTTATAAGCAAACTTTTTATGCTTAGCCGAGCATGCTTGCTTGCTTATATATGAGCCCCCAGGTCACAGTAACAAATTAACTAGGAAACCCATCTTTGGTCAAGACAACCATGGAATTCTCGGTCTCACATCTCAATTCTTCCATAGCTGCAATATTTGCGCTACTTTTGATTTTTTATTGGAAATCTAGGTCTAAAGCTAGCAAAAACAGTTCACCGCCGGAAGCTGGTGGCGCATGGCCAATTATAGGCCACCTCCACCTCATAGGCGGCGGTTCACGTCTTCCACACATCACCCTGGCGGCAATGGCGGACAAGTATGGACCAGTCTTTACAATCCGGCTCGGAGTACACAAAGCTCTAGTGGTGAACAACTGGGAATTGGCTAAAGAATTGTTCACCACCTGGGATGTGATTATATCTTCACGTCCAAAATTTCTTGCAGCCAAGCACATAGGCTATGACTTCGCCATGTTTGGATTCTCCCCTTATGGCACCTATTGGCGTGAACTACGAAAACTAATAGCCGTGGAATTATTCTCTCCCCGCAGACTGGGTCTCCTTCAACACATACGTGTTTACGAAACTGAGGTATTGTCAACCAACTTATTTTAAAGCTTAAGATCATAGAGAATGACCACATGTATTTATTTCAATTGCGTCTCCAACATGCCATTCATCTCGAGACTGGATTATTATCAATGATCAAAGGTATGATATGTGCATAATTTTTATAAATTCGAGGTAGTGAAACTTAAACTATAGTATTTTGTCTACTATTTAACAAAATCATCTAAAAGCAATTAGATAAATGCGAAATTGTATCCGTTTAAATCCTGTCTTTAATAGGTATCCATACAAGAGCTTTACAAGTACTGGAACGAGAAGAAAGATGGGTCGGGTCGGGTTTTGGTGGAAATGAAGCAGTGGTTCGGGGACTTGAATTTGAATGTTATTCTCAGAATGGTTGCAGGGAAGAGATATTTTGGTGCAACTGTTGATGGGGATAAAATAGAGGCAAGGCAGTGCCAGAAAGTGTTGAGGGATTTCTTTCATTTAACTGGAATTTTTATTGTGGCTGATAATATCCCTTACCTTAGATGGTTGGATATAGGTGGATATGAGAAAAAAATGAAAGAAACTGGAAAAGAAATGGATAAAATTGTTGAGAAATGGTTGGAAGAGCACAAGCAAAAGGCAAATTCTGGTAGTAAGCAGGATTTTATGGACGTGATCCTTTCAGCTATTGAGGGCACAAACCTTCAAGATTATGATCCTGGCACAATCATCAAATCTACATGCCTAGTAAGTTTTTTTAATCAATGATCATACCTTTCCCAATTTGATGTGTTTTTATTTCTTGACATTGTATGTCAACTATGTGAAAAATGATCCCAAAATTCTTGATATCAAAAAATTGAAAAGCATGAAGAACTATGCAACACGTTTGGTATTCACTATACTGGATATCATGGCATGGCAGATATTACTTTTTTTTTTTATTCTTTGATCTTTTTATTATTTTCAGATCCAATAAATCAAATATGTCAATAGAACATATATGTGATAAAGTGATTCTGTAAGCATAAAGTGTCTAAACCACGAAGGAAGTGATGTTACACCATTTAACAATTGTAGAAGAAAGAATTATGAGACAAAATATTAAAAATTAGTTAAATATTTACCTGTCTAGCTAAAATTTAGGTAAATGTTACTTTTAAATAACTTTTTTATCTAAACATATTAAACACATTTGATTTTGTTGAAAATTAATTTTTTAATAGATTTTGATAAAAGTTGATGAAGAAGTGATCGCACACCATTTAACAATTATACAAGAAAGAATTAAGAGGCAAAATAATTAAGGGTAGATTTCGTCTAGCTAAAAAGTAGATAAAGGCTACTTTAAAGTAAATTTTTTTCTGAACATATTAAATCGTATTTGGTTTTGCTTAAGATTTTCAGCATGCTGTGGTAAAAGTTGATAAAATGTTTGGTTGAAAAAAGCTGATAAATGTTGTGAGTCACTATTATGTGTGATTATAATTAATTGTTGACTTTGACTAAAATTTTTATAAACTTTTTAGCTAAACAAAATTTTTAAGTAAGAAGTTATCTATTTTAATAGTAGCTATTATCTTGTCATCATTAGAATTTAATTGCTGGTGGAGGTGACACAACCACTGTTATGCTAGTATGGGCAGTAGCCCTATTACTAAACAACCGCCATGTATTGAGAAAGGCTCAAGAAGAATTGGACATTCATGTTGGAAAGGAAAGGCAAGTAAAGGAATCAGATATCAACAAACTGGTTTATATTCAATCCATTGTCAAAGAGACTTTAAGATTATACCCCGCAGCTTTCTTGGGTGGTATAAGAGAATTCTCAGATGACTGCGAATTAGCAGGTTACCACATTGCCAAAGGTACATGTAATGCACTTTTTTTTCCCTACTTTAAAAGATCGATCTTATTACGAGAAATAAAGATCATTATTATTATATTTTACCTTTAACATGCTCACACAACATGTTAACTTGTTTGAAAATACTAACTTAATTTGAAATCTAATTACTTTTTGGAACTTTAGATACATTGAAATTCTTGTTAATTTGATATTTATTATAAGTATCCAAAGTCGTTATGCATTAAGAATTAAATTTATATTAACAATGTGAGATCTTATTTTTGATAGGTACGAAGCTAATAGTAAACTTGTGGAAATTACATAGAGACCCTCGAATATGGTCCGACCCATTGAAGTTTAAGCCAGAGAGATTCCTCACGACACATAAAGATTTTGACGTGAAGGGTCATAATTTCGAATTGATCCCATTTGAAGCTGGTAGAAGAATTTGCCCTGGCACAACGTTTGGCCTTCAGATGTTGCATTTTATCCTAGCTAATTTGCTGCATGCATTTGAAATTTCAACTCCTTTTGATGAAAAAGTTGATATGAGTGCGAGCTCTGGACTATCTAATATGAAATCTACCCCTCTGGATGTTCTTCTTTCCCCGAGATTATCTCCATGTCTATATTAAGTGGAAAGACGTCAATGATAATGATTTTAGTGATACGTGTGTGTGAAGATGAATTTGAATCAGGTTCAATGAACGTGGCTAGCCCACATTAATTATCTTTAATTGTTCTTTGAATAAGAATTATCAATCTAATTAACTAGTTAGAATTTATTTACACTCAATATACGTAAACATATTTACATATTAAGTAGCATGCTTCATTAAAAAAAAAAAGAAGAAGGTAGCATGCATCAACTACTTGTAAGGAGCTTTTGTATTGTTATTAAGAGTTTGAAAGTATATTTCATTTGACAGGTGTCATCATTCTCTTGAAAATTCTGTATTGATTTATCTAGTTCTGTATCCTTGTTAGATTACTTTGGGTCATAATAAATATTGTATCCATTTGGTGCTCGGATTGAGAGTATTCATCCATCGTTCTCTTGAAAATTCTATAATGTTTATCTAGTTATGTATCCTTGTTAGATTTCTTTGGGCGATGATAAATATTGTATCCATTTGGAGCTTGGATTGAGAGTTTTCCATCGATTCTTCACTTGTTTTCTTTGAATCTTCTATCTAACTTGATATCAATTACAAAAGTGATTTAAGTACAAATCCTCTTGGATGTCTATTCTCAACTAATGTCTCCTTTAAACTTTACTAGGAAAGCCATACAAGAAAACTATAGGCAAAGAAGAAGACTACATTATTTTTTCTGAATAGGAAAAAAAGAAATTTCTCATTAAACTGTGTTATGAAAATCCAGGGGATATATACCTCGATCAAAGAAAAAAAGTTCCACAATTATTTGTTTCTGCTCATGATAAAATCATCTATGATCTTCAAGATGTGCATTATAATATTGTGTTCCCGAATACTTGTTGGAGAGAAACAAGTATGCTCTTAAGCTTAAGGGGTAGATTACTCAAAGGATGATGCTCGAATGCCATAAAATGTTTAGATTACCACTCAATGTACTAATTGATCATGAGATGAGATGATTGAAATTCGATCCTTAGAATTTCAAATGTTGTAAACTGTAGTATATGAGCACCTTATGTTTTTCAATAAATTCATGTACAATGTTACGACATTTGCTTGCTTCTGCATACACTTATAGAGAAAAATATGTCTTGTAAATAATAATGCTATTTAAAATCAACAGCGTTAACATTAATTTAGTTAGCAGTTAATTTATTCTTATATTGTATAATAAATAAATATACATTTTAACTTTGAAAATGTAATAATGATCATACTATCATCTACATTGTTGTTAAGTGCACCATAATGTGGTCGAGTGGATGCTAGGCAACTCTTTTTTTTATTATAAGATGAACGAAGCTGCATCGCTCAGCGCAACAAAAAAATAGCTTAGCTAGAAAAAAATAGCATTTCTAGATAGATGAAAGCGAAATCTGCCCTGCCCTGTATGGATAGATGGATAGAATGATATGCCTGTACTGTCTTCTAAAGTCCCAAGAAAGTATTCTAATGTACTCCGACTTTTCTGCCCCTTCCCCACGAGTGTAAGTGGAGTCCGCAGGAGTGGAAGTAGAGTGTTTTTTCTTGACCTTCTCCTCTAGGGGAAATAAAGTTCATAAGCTTCTCCTTTTCCTACTATTTTTATTATACAAGACGGATACTTATGGAATTCAAAGGTCTTCCTTGAATAGAAGTGAAAAGTGGATCTCCTCTATTTTAGTGGACCCAAAGGTGTTTTGTTCAACTTTAAAGTTTTGAGTAGTTGAGCCTTGAGACTTGAGAGAGTACCAAAAGTTTGTATTTTGTATGAAGTGGTCGGTCTTCTTCTGTGGATATGGGTGAGTTTTTTTTTATCTCGTATCACTTTTTCTTATCCGATACATTCATTTAACCGTGTCACATTTTTTTTCTCAACAAGTGAAATATCGAAAAATAAGATATAACATTAGAGAAGAAAATAAATTAAAATTTTATTTATATGAATATTTAATTTTGTTCTCGTACCAAAAATTAAGCAAGTTTATCTCCGTAGAATGACTAGTTCAAATCATTAAACTAAACTTGATATTCTTAATATTAATCATGATAAGTCTGTTTTAAATATGTGTTTTGCTTTGGCAAGATAAAAATTTTCTGCAATAGAAAGGCTTGTTAGAATATACGGACGATGATTTTGGACATGTACAATAACAACAGTGCTAAACCTAAATCAAACTTTTGCATTGGCACTTTCTGTCAATGCACTGCAAGTTACGTAAACAATATATGTTCTGTCCTCCATAGAGAGGATATATATAGTATAAAAATCATAAATGACAATAAATATCAAATTCGATCATTGACTATTATATAATACTCCAAATGACTTTCCAACGCAGGTTTGACAAACATGGCCTATGCAAGAAAATATCTTCTTGTCTTGAAGCTAAGATACACAGTTACTGGACATGTAGGATGAGAAGATAACAATGACTCTTCCAAATGAATTTCAAAAGCAGGTGGGACAAACATGGCCTACACAAGAAAATAACTTCTTGTGTTAAAACTAAGATATACAGTTACGGGTCATGTTAGGATATTTCCAATTCTATCAAACAATAATGAGAAGTTGATCATGACTTTGCAGGTAGAATTAATATTCTTAATCATGTAAGCCATTAATTTTATGAATATTTAGCATAGTTTATCTTTGTTTGCTAGGAATTTGGCATAATCTAATGAATATGTAGCATAGTTTATCTTTGTTTTCTAGAGATTTTATTAAAAGTGCGTGTATAAACTATAATGTATCAGAATGGGAGTAGATTAGCTCGATTGAATCTTCCACGAGCCTTCTATGGAATTCGACATTCATCTAGCCTTAATATTTGATTATATAATATTGTATTGTACTACTCCATCTTGATTGTACAAAGCTTTTATTGTTTCTAGTCAAAAAGAGAGTGCAGATTTTATAATGGCCCTGTCAGATAGAGATTTTTAGAATTGATTTTTTGAAAAGTCATTTTTTTTTTTGGAATGTGCAGTTAAACTATAATATTAAAAGAATGTCCAATTGAAAAAGAGATTTAAAAAATGAGGGCCAAATAATTTTGCTAGGTATATATGGAAATATGATGATCAATAAATACATTTCAAACAATTTAATATATGTATATATATACAGAGGCGGACGCAGACATTTTATATTAGGGAGTCACAATCAAATTAAAAAAAAAAAAAGCAACGAAATTTTTTTTATTACTTTATATGGGCTATAAACTGTTATACTACTTTTTCATCTTGATTATTTTTACATCTAAATTTTTTATATATAAAAAAAAAATTCGATCATTTTTAGAATTTTTTTATTATTGTTACTTTTTCCTCTCAATCAATTATTTTTTAAAAAAATAATCTAATAAATTTTCTAATAAAATTTTTGACGTCATTTGAAAAAAATTTAATTGATCAAGAGGAAAAGCTAACAATAAAAAAAAAAATCCTAAAAATGATTGAATTTTTTTATATATATATAAATTTTTTTCAGATATAAAAATAATCAAAATGAAAAAGTAGTATAACAATTTACAACCTCTATAAAGTAATAAAAATTTTATTAAAAATTTTTACGTCCAAAAAAATAAAATTTGATGTCATACCACATAAAATTTCCTAATAAAATGAAATAAATTATATTGAGAAATTTGTTGCGCAAAAATGATAAACATTAATAAAATAATAAATTTTTTTTCAAAAAAGACGAGTTATACGTCTCTTTTTAGCATACACGTCTGATGTACGTTTAACTATTTTAGATATTCATTTAAATCATTCGATATGTTTATGATATAGTTCTCAAAATGAGTTTCGAGAGAATGTAGAAGATTTATGAATATGGTTAACGTATAATCGTCGAAAAAATTTTAAAAGTAGCTTGTTATCGAAACTCTTGAAATATTAGTTTAGACCGGCCTATTTTGACGCATCATAATATTTGTTACGATTGGCCATTTCGCACAACATTAATAATGTAAAATACTAGACTGTGAGTACTTCAAAATGATATTAAGAATGTAATATTTCATAGTGAGCCAAAGAAAAAAAAAAACACCAACCTTGAAATATCTGGAGGGTTAAGTGACCCTAGGGGACCCCGCTTGGGGATATATATATATATATGAATTATATGTTAATTTGCAATTGGAAGATAATGTTTCAAGAAGAGAAATTTCAACTTTCGTTACTAACAATCGCCATTGATAGTGACGAAACCACACAACTTGAGCCCTGCTGTACAGGTCAACAAGATACAAAACTCATCTTTGATATGAAATGTATGAAAATTCTTAAAAGAAAAGATTAATTTAACAAGTTGGCTATGATTGTAACCGATGTTAAAAGGATTGTGACACGTTCTGGCTGCATACGATATAGATAAGAAAATGGACAATGGATAATGAACGTTGAACTATTAATGTAAGACAATTTAAGTAGGCCACACATTTCTTGAACATTGAATGTGCAATGTAAGACAATGGCAGGTTGGTTTAAAATATCATAGTATTAAGACCTTGTTAGCCTAAGCTTTAGATCTTTATTTGTACGCAAATGACTTTACTTCGGGTCCTCAAAGTTTTAATGGCACCAAGCCGTGTCTAATGAATTTAATGTTGGCAAAATTAACTGAGTGGGCTACTTTTGGCATAATTTTGAGTGAGATTCGTTCATTCATTTTGAAAGATTAAAGTTGATTTGTGTTCTCTTCTGTGAAGATATCGAAATCATATATTTACTTGCCAAAAATGATAAATCGGTGAATGAGAAATTGAAACTCAAAGTGATGAATTGGAAGAGGTTAATGTGTTGAAGGGAAAACTTATTTAAGTTTGTCTAATATAGGAAGATTACAAAGACAAATACTACTTTATATATGACTACACTTTAGAATTATGTAATTATGCATAGCATAGAGGCTCTCTCCACGTGTGCCTAGGGAGGGTGCAAATCAAGGACCGAATAACTCCAAACCCGATAATTCTCCATTAGAGCCTACTTATATAGTCATTTTTTCCCGTTATTCTAAACCCATGAAATTCCATATTTATTTCCCTTCTTCTCGAGAACATTTCCTACTCGTGTTACTGTCTACTCGAAAATTTTCAATTTCATCTAAGTCTTGATGGTCGTGTTGTGATAGAAATTCAGTTCGTTGGAGTAAAAACGAGTGCTCAATTTTTACTAGTTTATCACTATATCCTCGAAGATAGACTCTCGTGCGACTATTTAAGCAACTACTGTGAGGGGACGAGTCTATTTTATAAATACTATGTAATACACAGGCCTTGGTTTGCAAATTTCTATTCTTCTTTAGCCATTGATATTTTCTGCAGTTTTATTTCCTATTTGTGGTTCTCTGAAATAATAAAATATGGGAAATACTAGGGGATACATAATTTTTGGTACAAGGTGTGTCCTCCCTCCTACGTGGGTGGGGCCCACTTGAATAAAATACTCGAG